GGTAAAAGACAGTTGTTGCTATTGTGCCAACAGCACCATCCTACTTAGGCATTTAATTACTGTGACTTTCAGCTCCGTGGGATGTCTACTGGAGTAGTAAGTCTTAAGGCCATAAGCAACCTACAGAGACAACAGGACACCCAGCATTACCCAGTTACAAGTCACAGCCAGGCAGAGCCACTGAAGTTTGCTTTCCCATAACTGATTCAGAGCTTCAACTCAGCTTTGGCAGAGATCTCACTCCCTGGTGGCTTCTTTGCCCACTAACATGCAAATTCACGCTGTGCTCTTCCCCTCCCTGAGGGCACTTCACTGGGATTCTTTACCCAAACACCCTCTAGTTTGAAGAAACTTGTTTGGCCATAATTTTTACTGTTGCCCGAGAGAAATTTGACTGAATTTAACCAACATTTAGACTCAGAGATAATTTGAGGGATACAAGACAGACACTGTCAAGCATAATGGGTCTTTTTTCTCAAGAAGCCAGGCTAAAAACAGTGAAAGCAGGACAATTCCTTTAGTGTCATGGACAACAATATCCAACATGCACTATTTCATTTTCTCTTGATTTGCTCTCAGCAAAATGTCATCAGTTTGACTGCATCAGTCCCACAACAAAATGAGCACCAACTTCCCAGACACTGACTCTATAAAGCAAAGTCTCATCCTTTCCAAGATACCACTCCATATAAATTACTATTAATATGTACTCCTTTCTAATTATTTGTCCCATTAAAAGATGGTCTACATCTATATAGACAAGAATATTGCTAGCTTTATCATCACTTCCCTGACTTATTCCACCCTAAAGGAACAGGAGAGACTGAACTGCAGCCTACCAGATTCTACCTTCTCTCCCTTAAATCCTAACCCTTGCAGTAGACTTAACTACCCACATAGCTCCCCAAAATTCTATGTACACCTGGAACCCTCTCCTAAATTTAGGGAAGAGCAAAATCCAGTAGAACTGAAATTCTTAAAAAATGCTTTTGCAGAAAAAAAAAAAAAAAAAAAAAAAAAAAAAAAAAAAAAAAA